GTTGTTGTTGTTGTTGTTATTATTATTATTATTATTATTATTATTATTATTATTATTATTGTTATTGTTACTATTATTATTATTATTATTATTATTATTATTATTATTATTATTATTATTATTAACACTTTGAAAAGTCTTTTTTATTATCATTTGTTCCTTCTTTCTATTGGTGTATTTATTAAGCCAGTTGCAGCAACCAGGTTATCCCTAGAAACTTTTCCAATTCTCTCAGTTCTGGATGGATTTTAATAACTTTTGCCCCTATAACTGTTGGCTTTCCGAGCATTCATGTAATGGCACATGGGTAATACCGTTATCTTTGTTCAGCTGCTCTCAGCACCCCGCCTCATGTCCAGCTTGACTACTTTCATTGTCCCTTCGCTATTCTGTTATCTTACTGGGAGTTTTGATAATAGATTTAGCATTTGAAAATTCGCTTAAAATTATAGTCATTTTTTTCGAAAAGCTATGATTTTCCATAATGAAGCAAGGGATTTAGCAGTCGACATTTCCTCGCATAGTTTTTTTTTGGAGAGCTTTTAGTACTTTTGGTCTCTACATCATTATAACGTGAAATTCAACGTAGAAAAGCGATTTCAATCTATTTCTTATTTCTAAATATTTTTTTTTTTTTTTTGTCCAGTTTGAACGATTTCTGAATTGTTCCAGGGCTTTTGGCTTTGTGTGAGTAGAAAATTGATAGCTGTCAAAATTTTTCTGATAGATTTTAGGCAGTATCTTAAAAATTTTTATTCGTACGTTCTTTTAAAATCATGCTTTTTGAGAATGACTTAGAATTTTGTGCTAGAAAATTCTGTTGTTTCTACTTACCAGATTTTTTCAGGGACGTGGAACTTTTCACAACAAAAACAACACATTCTCTGTTTCCGTTAACGAAGAAGACCATCTCTGCATAGTTTCGATGGATGAAGGCAGTGATGTTGGCAAGGTGCTCGATCGCTTGATACGAGGACTGAAGGTTCTGATTTTCCTGTTCCGATACAAGCACAAATTACCTTGACACACACTTTTTATGGTTTTTACCGAGGAGGCCAGTATCCTGCAGCTCCTTGATTAATATTGGCTATCATATGCACGCACTGATTAGCTTTTAATCATCTTCGCCTAGCTGCTTTAAGGCTGTAGACAATTTTGCTAGTAGGTGGTTACTGGTAGTAACTGTTTTATCAGTCACAATGTAGATTATTGCTGTGTAAGGGTAGAAATACGGGGAGCTTTCGAGTGATGATAATACGGATCGTTTTTCTAAAAATTAGGCTTTTGATTGTGTGTGGTTCCTAGAAGTCTAGAT